GTAGTGGCTACAGCTCTGGTTGTAGTGGCTGCTGCTCTGGTTGTAGTGGCTGCTGCTCTGGTTGTAGTGGCTGCTGCTCTGGTTGTAGTGGCTGCAGCTCTGGTTGTAGCGGCTGCTGCTCTGGTTGTAGTGGCTACAGCTCTGGTTGTAGTGGCTGCTGCTCTGGTTGTAGTGGCTGCTGCTCTGGTTGTAGTGGCTGCTGCTCTGGTTGTAGTGGCTGCAGCTCTGGTTGTAGCGGCTGCTGCTCTGGTTGTAGTGGCTACAGCTCTGGGCCAGAACAGTGATGGTGCTACACGTGTTACGGATCACTAGGGTGACCAATATCAGACCTTACTTCCCGGGAATTAGGAAATTAACAATTACAAGACACAGGGGGTGTAATAACTTTTATAAGAGATGAAATAAGAGTCCAAAAGGCCTTGGATAGATATCAAAAAATGATTTTGATATCCCAAATAGAGAAGTTATTTTGTATGAAGTAGTTAAAACGGGTTCTGGTGGTCTACTGTTATAGTGGATACTTTATGTCTCACTAACAGAAACTTAGCTTTATTGTTTAATAAGTAAAAAAGTTTATTTAGGCACAAGTACACATAAGTACAATTATTATAGTGTAAATTACCTAGGATAACCCCAAAAAATCAGATAAAGTGACTTATTTCCACTGGAGTCCATGTAAAGTTGCTGATCTAATTCATGTTCTGTGACAGTGATCAGGGTCTTGCTGTAGTCGCTGTGCAAAACATTTTATGTACTACAGTGAGCTGAGATCATCAGGTCCTCCAAGATTATCTCTGGGTCCTGTGTTGGATGGTCGGCTTCATTTGCACATAAACGTATGGACGCTGGTCTATCTATCTATCATGCATATATTCAATAAGTTGTTCGCAACAGTTCTGCAAATCTCCTTGTTTTATAGTCCATCAGGTCGCATATGATAGCGGTGAAGCACGTGATTGTCGACATCATTTGACGGCTCTGTTCTCTTGGTCTACAGTGTTCTTCACTGGTGACTTGTGTCAGGGTAGACGTGTTGCAGGTAGTTTATTCCCTTAACATGGGACCTGCTGATTCCCCTTGTGAGGTGTCCAGAGCTGGATCAGAAACGGCATCACTTCCTCGTTGATACTTAGTAGTAATAATAATAATAATTATTTCTATAAGTACATATACAGGGTACACAGACCATAGCTGACATACTGCTATATAGAAAGCCCCTTTTATGCAGAGCATTTCGAGAAAATCAGGTCACTTTTGTCCCAGGATGTGACCCACACAACTAAGAGCGGGGTGGAAATAAATGGTATCAAATACCGACACAGTGGAAATATAAACACATATGTAGTATAATGTGATCCTTTATTGACAACGTTTCACCCACACAGTGGGCTGATAAATTAGACACATGTGCAACTCTTGGGTATCTTTATTAAGGAAACGTTTCACCACACAGTGGCTTCATCATTCTCCTCCTGTTCTTCATGCTTCTCCTGTGTATGGACTGATGAAGCCACTGTGTGGCGAAACGTTTCCTTAATAAAGATACCCAAGAGTTGCACATGTGTCTAATTTATCAACATGCCGGTTCTGTGAACCATTCATCTAAGAGCTGGGTTTTTCACGCTGACCAGGTGAAGCCTCTCTGGACAATGCAGGTTCCAGGCATGATGCTTCCTTTTGCAGTTCGGAGACCAAAGTTCCGTAGCTGCCTCTCTTTTCTTCAGTTTATCCAAGCAGTTCTTGGTCAAGTGAGACCCGCTGCAGATGTCGTATATTTCCTTAAACTGACATCAGGCGCTGAGGTGGCTGTACCTGCAGCACCTCAAAGGTTTGTAGATGAATGGTTCAGAGAACCGACATGTTGATAAATTAGACACATGTGCAACTCTTGGGTATCTTTATTGAGGAAACGTTTCGCCACACAGTGGCTTCATCAGTCCATACAAAGGAGAATCTTGAAGAACAGGAGGAGAATGAGGTAATCAGTCCCTCAACCTTGGTATTCTATTCAAGATTGATGGACTGACCACATCGACTCAAGGTTGAGGGACTGATTACCTCATTCTCCTCCTGTTCTTCAAGATTCTCATTTGTATGGACTGATGAAGCCACTGTGTGGCGAAACGTTTCCTCAATAAAGATACCCAAGAGTTGCACATGTGTCTAATTTATCAGCACCTCAAAGGTGCTGAGTTGTGCGCCCTAACCTGATATTTTTACCCGGTAACTTAAATCTATTTGTCACCTGTTATATGCATTGTAGTTCTGTGAGAACAAGTGGCGATTCAATGTTGTTCACCTTCTGCAGTACCTCATAAGACTGTGTTATGGGGAGTGAAACTAAACTTTCCTTTCAGGTTTAGGAACACTGATATGTTCAGGTTGTATTTCCTCTCCAGAAGAATTGCTACAGTATCCTGGGTGCCCTGGGGGTTCTTTGTTAATCAACCTTAATTTTCTTGTAGATGGTTTGGTTAGCCAGATCTACAAGGTAACACAGCTTTCCCTTAGACTTGCTTGTTCTTACTTCTTGCCAACCTTTACCATCCAGTATTTCTGTGGTTGAGATGAGCATTTCCTGTCCATACAACAGTGTATGTCCATACACCAGTGTATGTTCATACACCAGTGTATATCTATACACCAGTGTATACCCATACACCAGTGTATGTCCATACAACAGTGTATGTCTATACACCAGTGTATACCCATACACCAGTGTATGTCCATACAACAGTGTATACCCATACACCAGTGTATGTCCATACAAGTGTATGTCCATACACCAGTGTATGTAAGACACATAGGCAACAGTTAGGCAACTTTATTCCGAAACGTTTCGCCTACACAGTAGGCTTCTTCAGTCGAATACAGAAAGTAGGCAGGAACAGTAGAGAAGACGATGTAATCAGTCCATCACCCTTAAAGTCGTAGAATTTGAGGTTGTCAGTCCCTCGGCCTGGAGAAGTTCAGTTCCATAGTCAGGAACTATCTGAAGAACAAGCGACAGTGCGGAGACTTAAATACTGTCGGAAGGAGAGGTGCAGAGTAGTAGTAGTAGTGAGAATGTAGCCACTGAAAGGTCAGGTCCCTCTCAGATCCAACAATTCTCACTTGAAAAGTTTGTCCAAGGTGTTTTCTGTATCAAGATGCCAAGTGTTGCAGTGTCTGACAAGATGAACATCAAAATGGTATACAATACCGACAGGTTGGTAGGTAAGACACATTGCCTATGTGTCTTACCTACCAACCTGGATATCTTTATTGTAGTAGACGTTTCGCCATCCAGTGGCTTTATCAATACAGATTCTAGGACATAATAGGAAGACAGTAGAACTATATACAAAAGATGAGGTAATCAGTCCCTCGGCCTTGGAGTTAGTGTTCACAGCATCGTGGTGGAGGAGAGTCTGGAGCAAAGGCAAGAAGACTGGCGCTTTTTATAGGCGTCAGTGAATGGGACGGCAGCAGACGAGGGCAGTCACTGGTAGGCGGGATTCCCCAGTGGAAGTAGGTCCTTCCCAAAGAGATGGGTTAGTTGCAGCAGCCGTGAAGAAGGTCTTGTAGATGTCCTCTGAACCAAGATTCCATGATGTTGCAGTGTCTGACAAGTTGTGCAAGAAAGGTATAAAATACCGACAATATGAAAGTTAAGACACATGTGCAACATCTGGATATCTTTATTGTAGTGACGTTTCGCCATCCAGTGGCTTTATCAATACAGATTCTAGGACATAATAGGAAGACAGTAGAACTATATACAAAAGATGAGGTAATCAGTCCCTCGGCCTTGGAGTTAGTGTTCACAGCATCGTGGTGGAGGAGAGTCTGGAGCAAAGGCAAGAAGACTGGCGCTTTTTATAGGCGTCAGTGAATGGGACGGCAGCAGACGAGGGCAGTCACTGGTAGGCGGGATTCCCCAGTGGAAGTAGGTCCTTCCCAAAGAGATGGGTTAGTTTGCAGCAGCCGTGAAGAAGGTCTTGTAGATGTCCTCTGAACCAAGATTCCATGATGTTGCATGTTCTGACAAGTTGTGCAAGAAAGGTATAAAATACCGACAATATGAAAGTTAAGACACATGTGCAACATCTGGATATCTTTATTGTAGTAGACGTTTCGCCATCCAGTGGCTTTATCAATACAGATTCTAGGACATAATAGGAAGACAGTAGAACTATATACAAAAGATGAGGTAATCAGTCCCTCGGCCTTGGAGTTAGTGTTCACAGCATCGTGGTGGAGGAGAGTCTGCGGCAAAGGCAAGAAGACTGGCGCTTTTTATAGGCGTCAGTGAATGGGACGGGCAGCAGACGAGGGCAGTCACTGGTAGGCGGGATTCCCCAGTGGAAGTAGGTCCTTCCCAAAGAGATGGGTTAGTTGCAGCAGCCGTGAAGAAGGTCTTGTAGATGTCCTCTGAACCAAGATTCCATGATGTTGCAGTGTCTGACAAGTTGTGCAAGAAAGGTATAAAATACCGACAATATGAAAGTTAAGACACTGGATGGCGAAACGTCTACTACAATAAAGATATCCAGATGTTGCACATGTGTCTTAACTTTCACAACAGTGTATGTCCATACACCAGTGTATACCCATACACCAGTGTATGTCCATACAACAGTGTATGTCCATACAACAGTGTATACCCATACACCAGTGTATGTCCACACAACAGTGTATGTCCATACACCAGTGTATACCCATGCACCAGTGTATGTCCATACAACAGTGTATGGACAAAGTGTCCAAACCTTTCAGAGACACCTTCATGCAAATTTATAGGATATGGCAAAACTCCTCATTGTTATAATACGATATTTGAAATTTCGAGGTTAGTTAGTTTAATATCTATATTTTGCACCCCATACCCAGCCTGTGGGCAGTTGCCTCTTATGGTCACATACAAAAGGCTTTAACATAAATGTCTGGATCTAACAACACTTGGACAAGGAAGTTCACTTAATACACTTGTTTATTTTTCCAGAAATAACTTCGTTTCATTTAAAATTATCGCCCATGGTTGAGCAACATATTTCCCCGAGAAGCAGAGCTTTATAAGACGTGACTTGTGGTGGCCTTTAACAACCCTGACAACACCAGCAGGAGAACAGCAGTCAACAGTCAGCAAGCAACAGTCAACAGTCAGCAAGCAACAGTCAGCAGTCAACAGTCAGCAAGCAACAGTCAGCAGGTCTTCTTCAGCGCAAAGAAACAAGACGCTTGAAACACATAGAGAAGCCTCAGAGCACATATAGGAGCCTCAGAGCACATAGAGAAGCCTCAGAGCATATAGAGGAGCCTCAGAGCACATAAAGGAGCCTCAGAGCACATAAAGGAGCCTCAGAGCACATAGAGAAGCCTCAGAGCATATAGAGAAGCCTCAGAGCACATAAAGGAGCCTCAGAGCACATAGAGAAGCCTCAGAGCATATAGAGGAGCCTCAGAGTATATAGAGAAGCCTCAGAGCACATAAAGGAGCCTCAGAGCACATAGAGAAGCCTCAGAGTATATAGAGAAGCCTCAGAGCACATAAAGGAGCCTCAGAGCACATAGAGAAGCCTCAGAGCATATAGAGGAGCCTCAGAGCACATAAAGGAGCCTCAGAGCACATAGAGAAGCCTCAGAGCATATAGAGGAGCCTCAGAGTATATAGAGAAGCCTCAGAGCACATAAAGGAGCCTCAGAGCACATAGAGAAGCCTCAGAGCACATAAAGGAGCCTCAGAGCACATAGAGAAGCCTCAGAGCATATAGAGGAGCCTCAGAGCACATAGAGGAGCCTGAGCACCCAGTCTCCTAGTGGAACTTTAATGTTACGTGCACTCTTATACTCAGTTACTATGTAAACAAGTTCCCCTGATCAACCACTAGTTATATCCAAGGAACTTGTTATACCCAAGTTACCGACACTCAAGGAACTTGGTATACCCAGGAAACTTATACCCAAGAAACTTGGTATACCCAAGGAACATAGTGATGGCAGAAGCTGAGGCTAAAGAAGAACTTGGTTTAACAAGCCTCAAGGAAAAGTCTGATGACTGTGAAGGTAAAAATTTAACCTTTCTAAATTTTGTCACTGTTGAATGCTAATAATCATGTGCTCAATGTAACCCTTGGCAGTCACCAACAACCTGACTGATCACTGACCACGACTACAGTCACTGGACGGAGGATCAAGCCTCCACTGGTCTTTTTGGGTTTAGAACTTTACCTGAATAAATATTTATATAAGTACTGTTTGTATGTAATGTATGTACTTTCTGTATATATGAAAGACATGTATGTATATTTATTATATTTAAATGCAACTTTTGTAGAAATTTAATTCATTTATATTTAATAAAGTTTATAACTTTAGAGATTTTAATTATTATATTCACAGGAAAGCACCAAACCTTAATGGAGTTGCTGTAATGCTGGTGAGGGGCTTTTGATTCAAGGAATTAAATCTGTCCTCCCTTTCCTTGGATCATATCTGATTTACTCTCATTAGTCTAGGTGCTATATGACCCTTATGAGCTTAGTGCTCCCTCCATTATGCATGTAATAATCAGTGGTGGGCACAGTTCCACTAATTAGCGGAACTAACTTTTTGATTAGCGGATTAGCATTTCCGCTAACTTCGGAAACCGTTATCAGACCAATTAGCTTCCACTAAATAAAGTTCCGCTAACTTTGAGTCAGCTGAAAAAACATCATACATTGTAGGTAGTCGGAAAGCAATGCCTTTTCAGCGGCACACGTGTTTGTTCCTATCTGTTGTGGGCATTTCTCCAATAGTCAGTCAGGCACACTATTGGCTGACTACGTGTAAACGTGAGTTGTCAATGCAGCAGCATCTGAGCAGCATTGTTATAGTCCTCCATACCCCTCCCCCTCAGTCAGACAATACCATCTTAGGAGATATATCCCCTATTTTGAAAGTTCTTATTATGTAAGCTGTCATTAGTCTGCCTTTTGCTGTATTTGTTTTATTGTGATCTCTGACATTATTTTTCCTAATTTTCTACTTGTCTCATATTCTAGTAAGTAAGTTTATTCAGTATAAACAAATACAGTTACATAGATTATCTTATATAGCAGCATGTGTAGAGAGCCTAGGATAACCCAGAAAAGTTAGAAAAAGTGACTTATTTCCATTGGGGCTCTTTTAATACCTTATTATTATACTATAAAGGAGATAATATCTTATTATTAGTATACTATAAAGGATATATACTAGGAATAAGGTAAAATGAGTTATTCACATGTACATGTGTTAGCTGAAAAAAATAAAAAATCATTCTCCTCCCTTTCTGTCCCTACATTCATTAGGTACCTTTTGGCTCTCAACTTGAACTGTTTCATGCTATGACTGGCTTTGACATGTGCAGGCAGTCTGTTCCATGTCTTTATTGCTGTACAATAAAAGGTGTTTGAAGCCTGGCCACTGACTGTGGGTACTGCAAAGTTGTGTTCCCTTCCCCTAGTACTATTGTCGCTTTGGTTCTCAGCCTTGACAAAACTGGCAGCAAGATATTCTGGACACTGTGAGCAATTTTATAAACTTGATTTAACTTCAGTTGTTTTACTCTGTCTTCAACATTCAGCATATCCAATTGTTGTAATTCATCCTGGCCTACATGTTCTCTTGGACCCTGGCCTACATACTCTCTTGGACCCAGGTCCAGGATGAATCTTACCATTTTGTTCTGGGTGATTTGTAGTCTAGCTTTCAGTTTTTTTTTTTTGTCAAGGTAGAGTACAGGTCGGCCATCACTAATCCGGCAGTCAGTTATCCAGTTCCATGAGTAATCCAGCACTAATTTCGGCTAGCATAATCTTAAATTTCATCATTATACTGACTCATCATTACACTGACTCAAATTTCATCATTTTACTAACTCAGAAATGGTGCAGATGGTTGCAAATCCACAGCAGCAAGCCAGTGGAGGAGAAAGCAGTGATGAAAATGAGAAGATGTAGCAGAAAGAGTATCTGTTGATAGGTTAATTAAGTGTATTCTAACCTAACCACTCTGTAATCCGACAAACTCTCTGATCCGGCACGCTACAGGTTCCACTGATGCCAGATTAGTGATGGCCGACCTGTACCATGAAAACAAGTGTAGTCCATATGACATTGTATAAGGGTTAGACATAGGGTCCTGCAAGCCTCAGTAGGTAGACACTGTGCCTCAGTAGGTAGACACTGTGCCTCAGTAGGTAGACACTGTGCCTCAGGTAGATACTGTGCCTCAGGTAGATACTGTGCCTCAGTAGGTAGATACTGTGCCTCAGTAGGTAGATACTGTGCCTCAGTAGGTAGATACTGTGCCTCAGTAGGTAGATGCTGTGCCTCAGTAGGTAGATACTGTATCCAGTAGGTAGACACTGTATCCAGTAAGTAGATACTGCCTCAGTAGGTAAAGACTGTGCCTCAGTAGGTAGACACTGTGCCTCAGTAGGGAGATACTGTGTCTCATTAGGTAGATACTGTGCCCCAGTAGGTAGACACTGCCTCAGTAGGTAGACACTGTGCCTCAGTAAGATACTGTGCCTCAGAAGGTAGATACTGTTCCTCAGTAGGCTGTAGATACTGTATCTCAGTAGGTAGACAGTGTCTCGGTAGGTAAACACTGTGTATCAGTAGGTAGACACTGTGGTTGTCTGTAGAGGAACTTTAGTCTGGCATTCGCTTTCTTTACTATGCTGTTCCCTATCAGTTCTCCTGAATTGCATGGGACCCATACCCCCTTCCCTCAACCCAAGATTTATGCACCCTCCTAGTCATCCTATCTTTCCCCATCGTCTAAGTATCCAAATCACTTCAACAGCCCCCTCCTCTTCCCTATGAATAATACGTTGGTAACTCGACATCTCCTAAACTCCAAACTTTGAATTCTCTGTTGCTCTTAAACATGACACCTCTGCTGCTTGCAGCCTCCTCACTGCAACATTCAAAACCCATACAACAGTATTGGTACCATTATGCTCTGGTACATTACTTTATCTGCCTCCATAGATAAAGTGCTTTGTTTATACGGATGCCTCAGTGCGCCACCCATCTTTTTTCTCCTTCGTCAGTTCCATGGTTATAATAATAATAATAAAATAATAATAATAATAATAATAATATAATTATTTCTGCAAGTACATGTACTGCACAAAGTATACAGGCCTAGCTGACATCAATGACATACTGCTATATAGAAAGCCGCTTGTTATGCAGAGCATTTCGGGGAAATTGCTGCCTCTTCCTCCTTAACGAACATAACACTGCCAAACCTAACACAGACAACAGCCAAAACTTTTCAATGTATCATAGCCTATATGTATTTTATCCTCTGGCAGCTGAAACAAGTGTGCTCCAGCAACAACAGAAAAGTGATAATGAAGATGAGGAACTTGAATGTGCAGTTTGCTTACAGAAGTGTGTTCACCCAGTCCGCCTTCCTTGCTCTCACATTTTTTGCTTCCTTTGTGTCAAGGTAGGTTTTCTATAAGAAAATGTATATTATTTAAGGTGAAAGTTACTTTTCCATAAAATTTCATATCCTGGAATTTTGTTTTATATGCTATTGACCATAATCTGCAAGCTATTTTGCAGATCTACAGTTCTCTTAGGCTATCCACACATAAGAACATAAGAATGTAGGAACACTGCAGAAGGCCTACTGGCCCATACGAGGCAGGTCCTTATCAAAACGACATCTACCTAAAGCTACTCAAGAAACAACTCCCGCACCCCCCAACACCAATCAAACCCAGCCCCTCCCACTCATATATTTGTCCAGTCTCTTCTTAAAGCTACCCAAGGTCCTAGCCTCTATCACCCCACTGGGAAGACTGTTCCACGCATCTACAACTCTGTTAGAAAACCAGTACTTACCTATGTCCTTTCATGTGGAAAGATCCAGAATTTTTAAAATCTTGTCTCTAAGCCAAATGTAGCTGATTTCTGTGACAAGTGAATATTGCCTTCCATGTATTAACACAATCTCAGTATTGAGAATAGTATATAATATGAACACATTGAAAAGTAAGATACATGTGCAACAGCTGGGTAGCTTTATTGTTGCTTGAAATGTTTCACCTACACAGTAAGCTTCTGTATTTGACTGAAGTATGTGCATTTTCTTGTATATAACTTAAACACTATGCTATAGTGATTGTGCATAAATTTGCCTCTACTTCAATAGGGTGTAGCAAACCAGAGCAAGAGGTGTGCTATGTGTCGGCAGGAGATACCTGCAGACTTTCTCGATCACCCGACTCTCCTCTCGTCTATAGAGGCGGAGAAGGAAGAGGTTCTCCCAGGAGGATATCAGTGGTTCTATGAAGGACGTAATGGTAAGTTACTTTTTATTTCTCATATGCACCACAGTAACTATAAATACAGTGGACCTTCGAGTTTCGTAAGCCTCGGGTTTCGTAAATTTTACCTTTCGACGACTTTTTTCGTCAAAATATAGCCTTGCGGTTCGTAATTTGCCTTGCCACTCATCGGTCATCTGGAATGTGTACAAGCGGCCTCCCAGTGTCCCTGCCACACAAAGGCGCCCCACACACCATTCCCAGTCAGTGTGGCATTGTTTATTGGCGAGTGACCATCACCCCATGCTTTCATGTGATACATTTCGTAATATTCCATTCTTTTTTGTGCTTGCAACTGCTAAATAAGCCACCATGGGCCCAAAGAAAGCTTCTAGTGCCAGCGCTTTGGTAAAGAAGGCGAGAAACACAATAGAATTCAAGAAAGAACACACCAGACAGGGTACTTCCCCATACACACGATTTGATTTGAGTGGGACTTGCGCATGAGTGAATAGAATTATCAAAGCTTATTGCTTGGGGAGCATTGAAAATTGGGTTGGGCAAGTATTCTGTTAGTGGGATGGTTTGTGAAGGACCTGCCTAGTATGGGCCAACAGGCCTGCTGCAGTTTCCTGCTTTCTTATGTTCTTCTGTACACCAGCCAGGGCACTTCCCCACACACCAGCCAGGGTACTTCCCCACACAAACCAGCCAGGGTATTTCCCCACAAACACGATTTTATTTGAGTGGGACTTGCGCATGAGTGAATAGAATTGTCAAAGCTTATTGCTTGGACGATGAAATTAAGACACATGCAAGATCTGGGTATCTTTATTGTAGATGTTTTGCCATCCAGTGGCTTTATCAATACAAATTCTAGGACATAATTTAAAGACAGTAGAATTATATACAGAAGATTAGGTAATCAGTCCTTCAGCCTTGGAGTTGGTGTGAAGAGCACCATAGTCGTGAAGGTTCTGGAGCAGAGGCAAGGAGGCTGGCGCTTATATACTAACATCAGGTGGAAAGGGGATGGAAAGAGGAGGGCATAGTCATTGGTGGGCGGGACTCTCAAATGGAAGTAGGTCATACCCAAAGAGATGGGTTGGTTGTAGTAGTAGTTGTCGTAGCCATGAAGAAGGTTATGTACATGTCCTTAGAATCAAGATTCCATGATGTTGCAGTGTCTGACAAGTTGTACAAGAATGGTATACAATACCAACAAGATGAAATTGCTTGGGGAGCATTGAAAATTGGGTTGGGCAAATATTCTGTTAGTGGGATGGTTTGTGAAGGACCTGCCAAGTATGGGCCAACAAGCCTGCTGCAGTGTTCCTTCTTTCTTATGTACGTCTGTACACCATCTGAGGAAATTGCTTCAGAGGAGGAGGAAGAGAGAGAGGGAAGAAAGTGCCTTCTTTAAAGATTAAGGACATTTGTGCAAAGTGGAGTGAGGTGCAAACATATGTGGAGGAACATCACCCTAGCCCTCTCCCCTCCTCCCGTCTTCATACACCAACAAGAGTCTTTAATAAAGGTAAGTGTGATGTTATTATTGTTTTATACTTGATGTCTCATTGTTTTCTATATGTAAATCTATATTTAATGTAAAAAAATATTTTTTGTTAATACAGTGGACCCCCGATTAACGATATTTTTTCATTCCAGAAGTATGTTCAGGTGCCAGTACTGACCGAATTTGTTCCCATAAGGAATATTGTGAAGTAGATTAGTCCATTTCAGACCCCCAAACATACACGTACAAACGCACTTATATAAATACACTTACATAATTGGTCACATTAGGAGGTGATCGTTAAGCGGGGATCCACTGTACTTTTGGGTGTCTGGAATGGATTAATTGGATTTACATTATTTCTTATGGGGAAAATGGTTTTGCCATTCGTAAATTTCGCCTTTCGTCAGACACTCTGGAACGGATTAATTACGAAATCCGAGGGTCCACTGTATTCACTCCTAGAATGATTTTTTGTGTATGCTGTTCCTCTGAAAGTATTGCTCTTCTATAAAATTAGCAATGCTATAAGATGTGATATTAATTAATACAAATTATAGATTTCAGATATATTGTTTATTGTAAACAATGGTAAAGTATTTATGTACATATATGAATTGGATACAAAGAAAAAAATAGTGTAAAAATTAATAATAATATTAATGATAATGTTAGTAGGAGGAAAGTTTCTTGACTAGTGAAGTACTAGCTAGCAATGAAGTACTCTATATATTATTGACATAGAAGAAATCACAATATAACGCATGATTGCAAATATGTAAAAATACCACAGTGAAAATAGGAAATAAAACCTGAGCTCTTTCATGTGCTTACACATCTTCAGAGGAAGATGTGTGTAAGCACGTGAAAACACTCAGGTTTTATTTCCTATTTTCACTCTGGTATTTTTACATATTATTGATATGCAATGTTATGTGGTTACTGCTTCCATTAGGACGCAGTCTGTGAGGAAATGGTTTAGGTCTTGTTCACTTGTTATTTCATATCTTTTACCTGTGGGTGTTTTTCTTTCTTGCAATAATTTGTCTTTTTCTTATCTTGTCTTCAATCTTGGTTTTGGCTTATTTGTCTTAAAGCTTGCCTTTCCCAGTGCATATGTCAAATGTTCTAATCTTCAAAACACTCATGACAGCCTTGACTATACCCTAACCTCTTATAATATTACCTTGACAGTACCCTAACCTCTTCTAATATTACCTTGACAATATCCTAACATCTTCTAATATTACCTTGGCTGTCTCCTAACCTCTTCTAAACTTTAGACTGTCTCCTACCTTCTAATCTTACCTTGACTGTCTTCTAACCCATCCTCACCTGATTAGTCTGTCTCTCTCTCTCTCTCTCTCTCTCTCTCTCTCTCTCTCTCTCTCTCTCTCTCTCTCTCGCTCTCTCCCTCGCTCTGCTCTCTCGCTCTGCTCTCTCCTCTCTCTCTCTCCTCTTCGCTCCTCTCGCTCTTGCTCTCTCACTCTGCTCTCGCTCTCTCTCGCTCTCTCTCGCTCGCTTCTCGCTCTGCTCTTGCTCGCTCTCGCTCTCTCGCTCTCTCTCGCTCGCTCTCGCTCTCTCTCGCTCTCTCTCGTCCTCTCTCTCGTCTCTCTCTCGCTCTCATCTCTCTCTCTCTCTCTCTCTCCTCTCTCCTCTCTTCTCTCCTCTCTCACTCTCCTCTCTCACTCTCCTCTCTTCTCTCTCTCTCTCTCTCTCTCTCTCTCTCTCTCTCTTCTTCTCTCCTCTCTTCTCTCTTCTTCCTCTCTTCTCTCTCTCTCTCTCTTTTTTCTTTTTTTTTTACACAGGGTTTGACAAGGTTAAGGATCCCTAGCTTTATTGACAAGCTATTTACAGGTTAAGGATTCCTAACTTTATTGGCAAGCTAAGAGCTGTTACCTACATCAGCTCATTTGAAAGCATTTTTATTGTTATGAGACATACATGTAGGTAACAGGATGAAGTTGGAGCCATCTGTGGGCCAGCATTTTCATTTGATCAACTGACTTTATCTCGTTGACATCATTATGCTGTACGAATGTGTTCCATACATGAGTCATCCTGGGTATATATGATCTCAGATGGAGTGATGTTCTGGAGAAAGGTACAGCCAGAGTGAAGTTGCTGCTTTCTGCCCATCTTGTGGCATAAAAGCTTGTTTCACGCTGTCCTCGAAGTGGATCCAAGTGTGGTACTTTGACAGTATTGGCCTTGTACATAACAGTAAGGCCACCCACATCCCTCCTATGTTGAAGGCTCTGCTGAACTGACAGATCTATCCAGGATGGGTCCAGGCGAGAGATGAGACGTCTTGCTCTGTTCTCTACTGTCAAGCAGTCGCAGATGAGAGGGGGGCAGGCAAACCAAGAAAGTGGAGCATACTCAAGGTGTGAGTGTACTTGTGCCTCGTACAGAATCTTGCAACCCCTACTGTTAAGCAGATGTGAGATACGGCGAAGTGCTGTAAGCTTCCTGGCTGCCTTGTTTGTAAGATTTACAACATGGTTCTTCATGGTTAGTTTGGAGTCAAATTTCACCCCAAGGATATCAACTTCTTCTCCAGGTGCCAACACCCTCCCATTCATCGTTACTACTGCACCAGCATTACCATCATGGTGCCTAGAGACCATCATCATTTGCATTTTCTCAGGTGCAAATGTTACTTGCCATCTATTTCCCCAAGCTGATATAGCTCTTAGCTGGTGATTGATATAGCTTAGAGCAGCTGGCGTTTCTTCTCTTGGATAAGTTAATGTCAGTGTACAGTTGTCTGCATATGCATGGGATTCTGGGATGAGATGAAGAAGGTCATTGAAGTAGACATTCCATAACAATGGTCCCAGCACGCTTCCTTGTGGAATACTTGCCCCAATAGGATGTCTTGCTTATTCCGTTCCATTGTGAACTATCCTTAGAGATCTACCATGGAGGTAATCACTGAGGAGACATAGCGTAGAGCCTGCAATTCCCAGTGCTTGGAGTTTCGCTAAGAGGCCCTGGTGCCACACCCGGTCGAAAGCACCAGCAATGTCCAGTGCTACCACAGAGCTGACTTTGGACTCATCCAGTGACTGGTGCCACTTAGTGGAGAGGTTTAACAACAGATCAGCAGCAGAGTAACCTTTCCTGAAGCCATATTGACAGTCACAAAGTAGTGAGTCGTAGTCAAAAAACTCTTGTCATTTGTCTTGAGATTATTGTCTCAAGGATCTTACCAGTGATTGACAGGAATGACACTGGTCTATAGTTGCTGATTTCTGCTCTGCTCTACTTTTTGTGAACAGGGACTACATTTGCCTCTTTCCGCAGAGAGGGCCATTTACACTGTACTAAGCAGTGCTGAAAGATGCGAGTTAGAGGTGCTGCTAGCTGGTCTGCACATCTTCTCAGCAATCTTGGGCTGAACTTGTCTGGGCCCACAACCTTTTCTTGGTCAAGCGATTTAAGAAGGAAATGCACCTCCTCCTGCCTTATTGTCACCACTGACAGTTTTGACACAGTTCTTGCAGTTAGCCAAGGA